TACGCTTACCTCTCCTGTAACTGTATTTAAGAAACAAGGTATTTAAATAGTCACGATGCCTTTTGTTTCTCGAAGTAAGTACTGACAATGACAAGGACAGAAATAAAGGCCATAGATACAATTTTGGTGGTACCACCTACTTTGAGATAAGCCTTCGTATCATTAAAACCTTTTCAACCAGGAATCTTCACCTAATTTTGTACCAACCCTTTTCCAACTTAAAGCTCGAATATAGGTCTTACGTATGTTGTTCTCGTAGAGAACATATAAAATATTCAAGAAAAAATCTATAAATTGCAGCATTATCAATGATGTCTTAACACTTTAACCCGCCTGACTTGTTTTTACCTATAAGTCCACAGGCATTCTGCATCTTTTAAGCCACGAGCTATATGTACTTATGAATATTTAACCCTTTATATATTAAGAATATATCAAAGACATATAGCCTGCAACTTCATTTGATGTCTGTCATCGGCAACCATACAAACGCATACAGTTGTCACTGTCAACCTTTATTCTATCGAATTGTGAAAGCCTGCAGCGGAATGTGAATTGGTAGGCGATATCAATTTTGTCATTGTGTTATGCTTTGCTTTTCCACTTTTCCAGGAATTTACCTTTGTCATGTTTAACGATAGACATGGCACATGATATGTACGAGTATGTGTGTAGTTCTTGCGTAAAATTTGTGCACTTGTAGTCACTCGTACAGGTCGACTTCCTTAAAACCCGCCAAGCGGAAGAATTTTGCTGCTTCAATTACAGTAGGTGAGCAAATGAAGACTTATATGTTTTGATGTGATTTGGTGACATTGAAGAGGGCAATTTAAGGTGGGAAGAATTTTGGGTATTTTTAGGATAATTATGAAATATGCTTTCATGAATTACATTGGCTTCGATAGGAGGTCATAAGAACGATGTTAAAACAAATAGCGGTTAAATATTTGTAGAGTGCTGGAGTTATATAGACTATATGTAGTACAACTTGTAATATCTAATTTCGGTAAACAAAGCTGAGGGCTTTCTGAAATAGCTGCCGTGATAATGCTATATTTTTACCAACCCTGAAGCCAATAAATCTTGACATGTCACCGGTTAATACCGATTAGAGATCAAAATCTGAAAAACCGTATAATAAAATTAAAACTTATACTTATACAGAATTAAGAGCAATCAGAGTAAATTTTTAAACATCTTGTATTCCACTTAAAAAAATATTTACATGTTCTTGCGGCGAGCGAACGTGTCAATATGAAATATATATATATATCGACAATGAGGACCTCTATTTTACTTGTAACAAATTATAAGGTATGTAAATCAACGAATCTTTAGACATCTTTAATTTCATAACAATATTGCCATATTGAATTTAATTTTTAATCGTTCTCTAAAAATACTTCAATACAATTTGTTTTTAATATTTAAGCATGGTGCGCGTATTGTAATAATTAATTTTATTATCTTCAAAACCGAATAAAATTTTTAAACAGGTGGCCACCCTTCTCAAAAATACTTTCAGCTGTTAGCTTTCCTACACATCTTAAGTTAAATAATTATGTATCACTTTATATTTCCCACTTCTTGACTTAGAATTCATAAATAGTTGAGCCACATTTTAAGCACGTGGCAATCCTTTTCAAATTACACCGTCTTACAGTTTTAAAGTTTGATATACATATTAAGAATTTATTTAATTTAAAATATTATTTTTAAATAAGTGGCAACTTCTTGTAAACTAATTTCAGCTATTAGTTGCCTAAATTTCTTAATGTACATGTCACTCTGTAGTGTTATTTTATATTACCAATTTCTTATCTTAACACGTAACACTTCTGAAATAACTGGAACCATTCACAAAACAATTTTTGATATTTGATAAAAAATTTTAGTTTGACGCCTACTACTTTGGAAGATTTCAGAAATTTCTTCAATTTAAACAGGCAATTCAACTTTGCTCAAAAATATTTTGTATTATAAGCTTTTTTAAATCGCGGCTCCCTTCATGCGAATAAATTGGTAACTATTTATATGGTAAAAAATGATTCGTAAAATTTCAAAACAGGTAGCCTTCTACTTTTTTGTCGTGATTTAACTAGATGCTTATGTATATATATATGTATTAAAGACAAAATGTCTAAAATCTTTATTCTTCGTTGTTCTAATACCCATTTTTTATGTTCTTAAAAAAACAGTTCAATTTGACCTCATTTGCTTCCAAGTACTCAAGCCATTTGCGCACCTTTATCAGTTAATAGCTGCGCCTAAAAAGTTTAAGCTATAATGCTTAATCTTTAGAACCGCTGTGGAGAACAAAAAACCGCTATAAACCGCGCATTTAAGCTCAAAATTGTTTTGAGACGATAAACCACGCCGAAATTGATAATTTGGGTATAGTTGGAAAACTCCGATATGTAGTAGACATACATATTTACATACACATAGGTGACTATTTAGTAGCAAAATTGATAGAACCTTTACGGCAACAGCAAAATGGGAACGATAACTAAAGATAACACCAAAAACAACAAAGAAAAATTCCAAAAAATACAAAATACGCTTGGCTATTGTTTGAGATGGGATAACCACGGCAACCGAAGGCATTAATCAGGTCAACTGTGTGTGAAAAAGAATGTCACTACAAATTCACTAACCCATATATAACTGTTATATGGCGCATAAGGAAAAAGCGGGAAAACATAAAATGGCAAGCCATGAAATTCTCTGGAAAATACTCACTTTACGTCTTACATACGATACTCATACATACTCGTATGTATGTGTGTGTGTTTGGTGATGAAGCGTGCGCGTGTGCATCAAAAGTGACACAGCCACACTATAGCAAAGACCACAAAAAAAAAACAACTATGCACAACAACAATAAATAGTGGAACCTATTTTGGTTTTACTTGCTTTTCTACACACAAAAGCGCAAATTAGCTCAAAAGGTGAATAGGAAAATAGAGGTGAAAATGAAAAAGCGCAACAGTGTGTGCACAAATGAATTTGTATGCTGAAGTTGCACGTGTAACGTTTTTACAAAATACTAATTTCTATTTGCACACAAAGTAAATAGTATTTAAAGCCTTTACTCACTCGCAATGATCACATTCCACAGCGAGTATTTTGTATTGTATAGCATGAGATATCTACACGTACATACATACATACACACAAATAAGTAAACATAAATTTTGTTACTTGTATGTACATAAGGACACCTATAAACATATGTACATACAAGTATATAGAACTAAATAAATGAATGAATGAGTGTACATAACTACAAAATGCCATCAACATTTGCTTTGCGCGAACATTCTGCCAAAGCGTGCTGTGCTTACATACAAATATACTGACACCTGGCAAATACAAAAAAACAAACAATTAATTTTTTCCAATGTTTTGCGCTTCCACGCCGTTGGCTGCCGCAGTGTTGAAGGGTTTTTACGTGTTGTGTTTATGTGTGTATGTGTCTGAAACATTGCATGCATAACACAGTTCCTGTATACTTATGCACATATATATAAATTTTTTTCTTGTGTTTTTTTGCAGCACTGCACTCATGTACGCTCATTAGTTCTAACCTCTTAAAAATGTTACGTATACGCACTGTCCGCACGGCTTACTCATAATATTTTCATAATGCATTTGCTTGATTGCTTTTGCCAAGGGTATTGAAATGAGTAAAACGAATTACTTAACGTGTTGTGTGCATCAGGTAAAATAAATGTTTTTAAAATAGTTTTGCTCTATGAGTCTTACGCATTAACGCGGAAGCAAGATTTTTCGAGCTTTTCTATTAGCATTTAAGAGCAGCTGGTTCACTGAACAGTTTCTAAGATTTGTGGTTTGACTGTGATTCTTATTGTTATCGATTATTTTTTAATATCGATTATCATTAATATCGATAATTTTGGCTTTAATTCGGGAACAGTCAATGGCACCTGAATGCTCTAAAGCTTATATTTTTCTCTCTGCAGTGGCTTAAACTAGTTGTGAAGTCTGGGCTGCGGTCTAACGCAGATTTTTTTTCATACTTACAAATTTATACTCTGTCGACTGGTCCACCATCTGTTTGCATGGTCTTTGCGACTTTCTGTTACTTCTCTGGTTAACTTAGTATGATGCCATGTAGACTTTTTTGTTTTTACATATTAGGAAGAAGAGCAGAATGAGGAAGAAATGTGAATAATTTTCAGTTTTATCTAGAGACACCAGTCAACTAAATTTTATTTTCCTCGAGCCTTTTAAAACTGTTTAGAAAAATTGAGAGTGAATAATTTTGTGCTCCTGAAAATAAGATTAGATTCATATGAGGCCTACAATATATGTATGCATGTTTTTAAAACGTATGTTAGGAAAATATTTTTTTTTTCACTTAAAAGTTGTTTCTGATATTCGTTGACGGCAGTGGTTCCCTTCCTAACTTTCATCTCATCGTGCATTTGAAGTGCATTTGATGATTTGTTATATGCGCCTCCAATGCATTTATGAAACTAAAGTTTTGCAAATATCACAGCAGCAATAATGTTTATAGCTAGCAGTATCAACCAATCAAAACGAAAATCCTTAAATATTCTAACTTTTTTTGGCACTGATTTAAGTCTCAGTAGAATCTTTCGTGAAAGTTATGTACTCGACTTATCATTCTAATAATTACTATATATAAATCTAATAACTATTTAATCATAAGTTACTTGAACTTTTCAAATGGAAATTATTTGCCCTGCTGCTCATACGACAAGTACATCTGAACATTTAATTCATTACCCCTACAACCTGCTAATTAAAAAAGTTACTTATACGACAAGGTATACTCATATCCTCTAACTCTCTAAAGTTTCTCATACGACAAGCACAACTAATATTTTATTTATTATAAAAAGAAAAATAAAACTTAATCTTAATTATTATTTTTAATTATTCAACTCGCTAAAACTGACTTTTTATGCCAAATAAAATATACATAAAATTAAATTCTGTTTATTTTGCAGGTATCTCAGTAGGATTGAGTACTTAAACGTTCGTTTCCATTCGTCAAGGTATGTAGTAGTGAATAATCTTAATTGTGATATATATTTGAATAAGTAATTATAATTATAAATAATGTAACGTGATTCTATTTAGGATGAATACTTTAAAAAATTTGCTATATTGAGTTTGAAAGTAAAACTAATGTTAAAAAGCTTCCTTAATACGCTCTCAAATGCGCTTTGAGAACGCTCTGATATACTAAATACGAAAAATTATTTGGTATTAGTGAATAAATGGGTGCCATTTGAAGTAATATTTTCGTCCCTTGAATAGGAATTGCTTCTATGACCCATTGTTGAGCTCAAGATTTTCTACTAGGCTATTTTTGGATTTTTGGCTAACTGCATACGATTAAATAAATGTTGTTCATAAATCAGTGAGGCTCTCCAAATCATCAGATTCTCAGTAGAGTGATATTGCATAGCGACGTAGCAAGTTTAAGTTTTGAAATTGTCGTTATTTTTCTGCAAGACATTAGAGATCTTAGAAAGGAATAAAACTTTCGTTGATTTAAGGCAAATAAACTAGAAAGTTGCTACATGTTTGGAATTTTTTGTAAAATATCGCAAGAACTCTACAAACTGTAAAGATGTGAATAAACCTACTGTTGAAAATATGGTTCTTTAGAAGAGTTGACACCTTTTTAAATTTATAATTCATGCAATTTATAAGATAAAAAAATTATTATTACAGAATTTTCACCAATTTAATTATATTAAGATTATTAGTTGAAAATATTTTGTTAATACCTGTTCAAATAATTTAGTTTAATAAATTGATTAAGCAGATTTTTAGTTGAAAGTATTTTTGTAAGTGTTGCCATCTGTTTACAAAAATTTTATTTAATAAATAAATTAAGAAAATAGTTAGTTAAAACTATTTTATAATTAGTGTTGCCACCTGTTTAAAAAGTTTATTGCATGAAATATATAAGTAACGAATTATTACAAAATGGATATGTATCCATTTTCACTAAAAAACGTTTCAAGCAGAGCTGCCAACTGTTCAAATTATGTTTATTTAACTTAAAAAATCAATTTCTCTGCTTCTGACACCTTTCCTATACAAATATTATAACAGCCAACTCAGAAATTGAAACAAAATATGCTCTCATCCAATGCCATACCCTCATTCAATTGTATCATACGTGCAATAAAGTGGAGCCCTTAAAATAATTTAAATATTTATATAAAACCATTCAAAGGAAATTCAGGAAAATGTTTATTTTTGGAAAAAAATATTAAATGTAATCAAAGAACAACATTGTGCGTTAATTAAATTTTTTCTTACTCATTTATGCACGCATGTAAATTCATGTTGCTGAACAATTGTTATGTCCACGAATATGAATAAATACATACAAATACACACATACACTCCTAAATAGATGTATGTGCATATTCAACAAATACGCAAATATGCGAACAACAACTGCCAGGCAAAACAAGGGCACAGGCGCACGTTATAAGGTCAAAGTTCATCTTATCAATTGACCCGCGCTCAGCGGCAAAACAAAGCTGAAACGGATAACGGCGAACGGCAAACGGAATGGCGGCAAAGAGTAAATAAATTCGCCAAAAATGTGAGCTAGTCGTTTGTTTTTGTTGTTGTTGTTGCTGTTCACTCGAGTGGCATGTGACAGGCCAAAATACATTTGAGTTATCGAATTTCGGAATACAAATGCAAACGCGAACGAGTGGTTCTTGCTGCGCAGATTTACACAAATATATGTGCTTGTTGGTGTGCGTGTGCGTTGGTGTATGTGTGTGTGACATTGTGTAGCTCAAACGCACGTTTCCCAATGCAAATAAAGTTTGTGCCGCTGGAAACTTTGCCACAAGTTTGTTTAACACTTTCGAGACGACGAACGTGTAGCAAAAGTATAATGCCTGAAAAGCAGGACGTGCTTACATAGACACACACGTGCATACATATGTACATGTATCTATATAAAAGTGTTTGTGCTAACATTTGTGAGTGAAATACTTAACCATTTGAGCATTGCCTGATTTTGTTTTTCTGCGTAACGAGCGAACTTATTGCTCCCTGCTACTTAATGCCGCTCACATAAAAGAAAATCCACTTTGGCGCTTCACTCCAACTTATTGTTGTTATAGTTTATTATGTTGCAAAATCTAAGGCTTTAAATGCTGGACCTGCCGGAGGATTATTCAGCAAGTGCTTGTGTTGGGTATTGTTGGTATTTAATATATTACTCTGTGGCTTCAAGACCTAAATGCCTTGTAGGAAATAAAACGCATGGCTTAGTTTTTGTTTTTTTTAAATTGTTTTTAATTTAAATTTTTTCCATTTAAATTTTTTTTTTTAATTCGAAAAATTTATTTTACTCTTGCAACATGTTTGCTAAGCTTATGATAATTTTGTCCAAAATTAAAAGAATTGGGTATGGTGTTATCTACAAGAACTGACATGATTGAAAGGTAGGTTGAAAGAGTGAATGTCTGACGACACACGTAGGCCTTTAGGAGGCGCATTGTGAAACCACCGGTACTAAAATCTTCTCACTCTATTATTTCCTCTCAACATCACTACTGCTGCTGATTAAGGTGATCAATACAAAAATGTTTATCTGTGCAACCTCTAAATCAACTTCAAAAGATCCTCGACAGATAGTAGCATTTCTTTACTTATGCAAAGCTTTGTATTCGCATTGAAGATGTTCTATAGTCTTCTCTTCCTCTTTGTCTTAACAGCTTCTACAATAGTCTGCTGGTATATTTGCCAATTAGACAGTGACCTGTTAGCACTTCGCCTAAAGTGCTTACGTCATTCCTTTTGAGTTTTAGTAATCGAAATCAATTTTCCATTCATGCCACGTTTGCCTGATTGTTGATAAAGTTACAGATTAACTCCATGGCCATACGTTCGCCCATCCTAGTTTGTTAAAAAATCTCGAAAATTTTTGAATAGTTGAAAAAGAAAGTTGCAAATATCAAATTCTGCACAGGAGGCAACTGAAACAAAGGCTTTATCTATTGATCCGGACTTAATCGAATTTTCCATACACTTTTTATAGGTAAGCGTTGGCTGGGATGGTCTTCAGTGCCTTCAGCGAATTACCTTTAATGGCTTTAACGGCCTCATGACGAGTTTTCCGCAGCAGATTTTTCAGTTTCGAAAACAGGAATATATCACAGGAAACCAAATCAAGCGAATAGGTGGCTCAGCGACGACTCTCGTTTCGTGTTTAACTAAAAAGTCTGTTCCAATCATGCTACAAAGAGATGGCGCTTTATACCCAAAATATTAACTAAAATGTGTTGAGTCAATCGATAAAGGATGTTAAGATCTTCTGCTATCTCTCTGATGTCAAAACGATGATTTTTATTCACTGTTTCTTTAACTTTTTCGATGTTAACGACATTAACAGAGGTGGAAGGGCTACTCGCACGAGGAAAGTTTTCGATGACTTCAAGACTTTAACTGAATGCTTTGTGCCACTCAAATACTTGTGCTTCTGATAGACTCCCCAAAACATATTTACAACATATACAAACATATTTTTTCCATGCTAAAAATCGCCTAACAAGCTTTTAATGTCGTAAAAAAACAGCTGTTAGCTTCACATGAACATAAAGAAAAGGGTGTACCAAAAAGTCAAAAAAAAAAGTTATAATTTGTAAATGGAATAGTTCGAGTTCAGATAAACTTGATAAAACATTGGAAAAAATTGGTCTATTCATACTTCCAAAGCGCACTATGTGAGAAATTTCAACATGTAACTTGTTAACCTCAACAAGCTTTAATGCCGCGAATCAGTCTACACCGTTCCTTAAATCCCTACTTGCCTTAAATGGAATATCACCATCGGTTTAGTTAGATTAAGACATAGAACTTCGCTGAGCCTAAAGTTAAGCTTTATCAAAATTGTTTGATATCGGTCCATACATGCAACTTATTTACTATAAAGTTCTGCTGACCACTCCGAATATTTCACACGTCTTTCTATCTTTCCAATTGCATTTAATCTTCTACACTAATTCGATTAAAGTTTCTTATCAAATCGCAATCAAATCCCTGTAGGGTTATTTAGTCATACAAGTACATAAAAGTAGTTATATGTGGGCGTATAATTTTATTAGCTCCGCAAGCGTAGCGTGTTCCGAAAGTTAGTCGCAAATAAAAGTAGTGGCATGTGCGAGCGTCTTAGACATGAAGACATAAGCAAATTAGTCATGTTTAATAATAGCATATAAAAGTTTCGTCGCATTTAGCCGATTTTGTGAAACAAATCGCTTATGACCCAAACGTATGTAAAGGAATATTTATAGTTGTTGTACATAGTTAATGGAAAAGTTTTCAAAGTAAAATCATACAAAGAGTAATTTGCTTTCACATCACGAATCGCTGGATCGTTGCAATTATTTTATGCAGTCATATTTGAGAATTTATTACTATTTACTTACAAAGTAGTACTGTTATGGAACATGGTATACTTATGTGTATGCACATACATACTGTTCGTGCTATTTTTGCAGACATTTGTATATTACTTATTTATGGTGCTGCTTTATCCCTTAAATTTGAATGATTTACAGTAATGCTTAGAATAAGAAATTATTTTCAATTTGTCAATATGCAAATGTGTAACGGTACTTTGGGTAAGGATGTACTATTTTGATATTCTGCTAACACACATTTTTTGCTATCTCAACCCTTATTTGATTAACTCGTTCCTTTTAGTCCCTACGATACTTCGTAAAACACACACTTTCTGTCTCTTTCTCAAATAAATTTTAACTTTTACATTTATTTAGGCCATTGCTCTTCTACGCACGCATAAATTGTCGTTTCTAATTCAACAAAAAGCTATCATTAATACGGACTCTCCATTGCGACTTTGAGGGGTTATATCCGATTGCAAGTTAGAAAAAAACAATTTTTTGTGTGTTTTTTAATAGGCTTTTTATTTATTAAATAAATAAATCAAAATGAATATTTACAGCATTTCATATACTTAATATTCGGTCAATAATTTTGAACAACT